GTTGAATCAATGAAAGCAGTTGAATCTTCTGTTTATTCAGCTGCAGCGATAGGCATTTTCTGGGTTTCTTCTGCGAGGCGTATTTGGAGTTTCTTTGGCCTTCGGGTGGAGATTTACTGCTGATCACAGAACCGTGCTTCACTGAAAGATACGCATGACAATCACAGCTTCTGCCGAATCGCTATCTCGATTCCATTTCGATTTATCGTGCAGCACCTAGTCTTTACATAGTTTCTGAATACTAATTAGGCTGGCTAATTTAGAAAGTTTTCAGTATTGTTTGTGATCTTAAGATGTAATATGTATTTGTATTCTTTCTGTTTACACTGTTGTATGCTCCTCTGTTATAGGCCATGAGGAAGAACTCTATCATGCTCACAGAGAATAGAGCTCAGTGCTGCTAACTGGGAGAGCAGCTGGAAAACTGCAGGAGAAGAACAGTTGAACACCTATTAATACAGACGACTATTATTTTTCTGCAAGAACCACAACAAGCAAAGACAATGATGAGCACTCTGAGCAAACAACAGTCAGACGCTTGATTATGCACTGCACTTTACTGAATTCTTCAACATGTGATGCTGAGCATTTACTGTTTGTAAAACTACTAATAAATTAAGTGGATGCCCTTAATAAACCTGTTAGATTTTTATGTTTTATTTTTGAGATGAATACAATTGTATGTTTTAAGAACATAATAGCTAAGCATTTTTTGAGTGTTTAGGATTCTGGGAACAAAAATAAAACTTCCCGCTAAAAACTTTATAAGAATGTTAGGGGATAATGTTCTAATAATGTTGTGACTAAACATTTATAGAAGGTCATCACAGAACTTTTTTAGAGTGTTTTTAGAGAATGTCATCCTACCTTTTAGAAGAACGTTCTAAGAACAAAAATAAAAAAAACTTTATACGAATGTTACGGAATACTGTTTTAACAATGTTGTCACTAAACATTTTTAGAATGTTTTTAGAGAATGATATCTTATCTTTTTGAGAGAACGTTCTGGGAGCATAAATAAAACTACCCGCCAAAAACATTATAAGAATATTAGGGAATGATGTTCTAACAATGTTATGACTAAACAGTTTTAGAATGTTTTTAGAGAATGCTATCCTACCTTATAGGAGAACGTTCTGGGAACACAAATAAGAACAATCCATGGTAATGTTCTTAGAACATGTTTAGAACAAGAAATTTCTAGCTGGGTTAGAGGCCTACAAAGACACCATTTCTAATGAGTAGAAGAAATGAACGGTCAGTTCTTATATGGGACGTCCCATATTATATGCACACATCATATCAAACCATTTTACTGCAGCATTTTTTAGATATGGGACTATATGGTAATTTAGAAGGCTATAAAGACCCCATTTCTAATAAGCAGAAAAAAAACAATTGTCAATTCTTACAGGGGATGTCCCATACTATATGCACACATAATATAAAAACATTTTACTGCAGCATTTTTGAGATATGGGACCATATGGCGGTTTAGAGGGCTATAAAGACCCCATTTCTAATAAGTAGAAAAAATGAATCGTAAGTTCTTATACAGGACGTCCCATAATAAATGCACACTTCATACGAAACCATTTTACCGCAGCGTTTTTGAGATATGGGACATTATTCTACTTCAGAGGCCTATAAAGACCTCATTACTAATAAGTCGAAAAAGCTAATGGTTCATTCTTATACGGGACTTCATACGAAACCATTTTACTGCAGCATTTTTGAGATAAATGAATCGTCAGTTCTTATTACGGGACGTCCCATACTATATGCACACCTAATACTTTTTGAGTGTTTAGGATTCTGGGAACAAAAATAAAACTTCCCGCTAAAAACTTTATAAGAATGTTAGGGGATAATGTTCTAATAATGTTGTGACTAAACATTTATAGAAGGTCATCACAGAACTTTTTTAGAGTGTTTTTAGAGAATGTCATCCTACCTTTTAGAAGAACGTTCTAAGAACAAAAATAAAAAAAACTTTATACGAATGTTACGGAATACTGTTTTAACAATGTTGTCACTAAACATTTTTAGAATGTTTTTAGAGAATGATATCTTATCTTTTTGAGAGAACGTTCTGGGAGCATAAATAAAACTACCCGCCAAAAACATTATAAGAATATTAGGGAATGATGTTCTAACAATGTTATGACTAAACAGTTTTAGAATGTTTTTAGAGAATGCTATCCTACCTTATAGGAGAACGTTCTGGGAACACAAATAAGAACAATCCATGGTAATGTTCTTAGAACATGTTTAGAACAAGAAATTTCTAGCTGGGTTAGAGGCCTACAAAGACACCATTTCTAATGAGTAGAAGAAATGAACGGTCAGTTCTTATATGGGACGTCCCATATTATATGCACACATCATATCAAACCATTTTACTGCAGCATTTTTTAGATATGGGACTATATGGTAATTTAGAAGGCTATAAAGACCCCATTTCTAATAAGCAGAAAAAAAACAATTGTCAATTCTTACAGGGGATGTCCCATACTATATGCACACATAATATAAAAACATTTTACTGCAGCATTTTTGAGATATGGGACCATATGGCGGTTTAGAGGGCTATAAAGACCCCATTTCTAATAAGTAGAAAAAATGAATCGTAAGTTCTTATACAGGACGTCCCATAATAAATGCACACTTCATACGAAACCATTTTACCGCAGCGTTTTTGAGATATGGGACATTATTCTACTTCAGAGGCCTATAAAGACCTCATTACTAATAAGTCGAAAAAGCTAATGGTTCATTCTTATACGGGACTTCATACGAAACCATTTTACTGCAGCATTTTTGAGATAAATGAATCGTCAGTTCTTATTACGGGACGTCCCATACTATATGCACACCTAATACGAAACCATTTTACTGCAGCATTTTTGAGATATGGGACCATATGGCCCTTTAGAGGACTATAAAGACCCCATTTCTAATAAGTAGAAAAAAACCAATGGTCAGTTCCTATAAGGGACGTCCCATACTGTATGCAGACCTCATATAAAACCATTTTACTGCAGCGTTTTTGAGATATGGGAGCATATGGCGCTTTAGAGGGCTATAAAGACCTCATTTCTAATAAGTAGAAAAAAAACAATGGTCAGTTCCTATAAGGGACGTCCCATACTGTATGCAGACCTTATATCAAACCATTTTACTACAGTGTTTTTGAGATATGGGACTATATGGCGCTTTAGAGGTCTATAAAGACCTAATTTCTAATAAGTAGAACAAATGAATGGTCAGTTCTTATACAGGACATTTCTATGGTAAACCTCGGAATAAGAATGAAAAAGAGTAATATTAGTGTAGATGCCATTCTTCTGATGTAACGAGTACATCTGGTGTTATAGGAAGTGTTCCCTTGTTCCGGCTGACCTAATTTATGCAGCTTAACAATGTGAAAATATAAATTGATAATGTGTTATGTGTATGCCAGGTTAAAGAGATGCGTTTTTAATCTAGATTTAAACTTACAGAGTCTGTCTGCTTCCTGAACGATGCTAGGAAGATTATTCCAGAGTTTAGGTGCCAAATAGGAGAAGGATCTACCGCCTGCGGTGAAATGGACTCACATGAAGTATGCAAACTGTATGGGACGTTTCCTATAGAAACTGACCATTACTTTTTTCTACTTATTTGAAATGAGGTCTTTATAGATGTAGAAAGTAGAATAATGACATACTATATCTCCAAAATGCCGCAGTAAAATGGCTTCGTATGAGGTCTGCATACAGTATGGGACGTCCCTTATAGGAACTGACCATTGTTTTTTTCTACTTATTAGAAATGGGATCTTTATACCCCTCTAAAGTGTGATAATGTCCCTTATCTCCAAAACGCTGCAGTAAAATGGTTTGATATGAAGTGTGCATATAGTATGGGACGTCCCGTATACGAACTGACCATTCTTTTCTTCTACTCATTAGAAATGAGGTCTTTATAGCCTTCTAAAGTGTAATATTATCCTTTGAAAATTATAGTAATACAGAACAGTCAAATACAACAATAAATGACACGAATATTAAAGCAGATGGGCAAAAACAATCCTAAAAAATGTCATCATATCTAAATTCTGGGCGTCTAGATGAAAAGCGCTCTCGGCTGGTTTGACCGTGTTTTTCTGAAGTGCGGCTGGCTTGACCGCAGTCTTATAGCGGACTTACCAAGGGGTTTACGGACAAGAGCTTTGCTGTGAAAAAATTCACAAATCGAGCTGGTGAAATTGACACCGGTTTCAATCCTCTAAGTGTCCAAGTTTTGCATTATAAAATTGAGACCTGATTTCGGCCAGGAGGACAGCGTCACCTGAATTCACAAATCACTGAGAACGACACTTGGTTTTATTTTCATGTCTATGACAGCGCACTGTGTATTTATAGCCAAAAGACATCTGAATATCAAACCGCAAGCTATCTTTACTGCGGTGTATTTTCTTTGCAATAATAGTAGCCTAGTTAGATACTTAGTGCAAACGCCAGATATCTGCACCTCACTATTGCACAGCAAAGCAACATTAGACAAACGGCCTTGAATAGTTGTAAATCAGATCATGCTTACCATCAGCGATCATCAGTAATACTGACATCAGAACACAGTTCGGTAGGTGCATCTTCAAATGGGCGAAATCAAACAGAACGATCATGTCTTTCAACGATAAATGATGGCAGCAGCAGTTAAAGGTGCATGAAAATTCGCCCCAAACGATCAGTTTCAATTTTACTTTCACTTTTGAGTTTCACGTAAAGGATGGGAGTCGCTCGGAGGCGGAGGATTATTAACTTTAATTAATTCTGAACATATTATTAAAAACATTTAGCCTTAACCGTGACAAATCACAGTAAAACTAATCAATCAGAGAAAAATAAATAAATAAAACCAAGATCAATGGATTGCTGTTCACGGTGACCCAAAATATTTCGGCATAAAATGTCATTTAATCATAAAGACACATCAGAAAATGTATTGTTTTGTACATTAACATTTGTATTGTACATTAGTTATATTAATGTTATTTTTACACATTGTGTGTGTGTGTGTGTGTGTGTGTGTGTGTGTGCTTTAAAGGGATAGTTCACCCAAAAATAACAATTCTGTCATTAATTACTCACCCTCATGTTAGCAGAGCAGGAAGAATAGGTTCCCATGCACCCGCTTGGCAGTTTTTTGTAACCTGTTTTTTGGGACCCTAATGGTGTCTAGTCAAACTAAAGTCCCATGGTGTTCATTTGGTGGCCATCTTGAAATTATGTCATTATAAGTGGTGAAAAACACAGATTTTCATAACTCCTGAACCATACAACAGACAAAGACAAATGAACCCACTTTTTTATATAATTGTTTATATAATTCTGACACCAGGAATCAAATGGAAAGGTCAATGACATTATATACAACCACTCTTTACTGATTTACCTGAGGTAGGCTATGCTCCAAGTAAATGAGCCTACAACTATTAAGCATTTCTATAATATTTTTATTTTACCTTAAGAGTCCCTAAAATGTGTTGTTTAATGTATATGTTGTGCCATAATAAAGTTTGTTATGGTGATTATTCTGTACCATTCCTAATCGTTTGCTCGATCATTCAAAAAAGTTTTTTTTAAAACAAAGCGAAAACTGAATGTTTTTTTACACACATGAACTGGAATATAAACATACTTAATAATTTTTTTTTTTTTGCCGAAAATGATACATTTAGTGGACAAAATGCACTATATAGTTAAAGACAAAAAAAAGGGGGCAAGATTGTGAAAATTTATTTAAAGGGGTCATATGATGCTATTTTAAAGATCATTATTTTGTGTATTTGGTGTAACAGAATATGTTGACATGCTTTAATGTTCAAAAAACACATTATTTTTCAAATACTGTACATTATTGTAGGTCCTCTATGCCCCGCCTCTCTCAAACGCTTCGTTTTCTACAAAGTCCCTCCTTCTGACAAGCGCAGTCTGCTCTGATTGGCCAGCTGACCCAGTGCATTGTGATTGGCCGAACACCGCAAGCACGCGTCGGAAATGTAACGCCCCTTACCATAATCGCAGCTTCAGCTTTCAAAATAAATGTAAAGACAGTAAATAATGTCATTAGTTTTACCATCAGTTCAAGCCCGAAATGTCAGAAACGAGACCGGGATCCAACAGCAGGTGAAAACAAATTCCAAGTTTATTGAAACTGGGATAACAAAAAGTCAATAAATCAGCCGGATGGCAAAACCCCAGCAAAAAGTCAGTTCAGGTCAGCGCGGAGGTTAGACCAGCCACGGTCGAGCCCGCGGGGAAGAGAGGGGGCGAACCGGCAATAGAATGCCGCTGATGAATCCCAGGGGTGGTCTCGAGTGTGGGCAGAGAAGAATAGGGCGGAACTGCTGTGGAGAGACAGGCCTATGAGTAGCGAGAGCCAAGGACAAGAGCCGACCAGAGTTCTAGGGAGGCAGGAGGGTAGAAAGGGGAGGGTGACAAAAACAGGAACGCCAGACCGACTAGACTAGAAAAAATAAAAAAACGGATTCAGACAAACACAGCATGGACAGAGACGATCTAAGCTGCTGCACAACATATTACGGACTGACACAAGATAGCATTCAAGAGGGCCAGATAAAGGGAAGAATAATGAGGACAAAACGAGGTGCAGGTGAGAAGGGAGAATTAGCTAACAGGGATAACGAGAGGGGCGGGGTGAACACCAGGATGACAGCAGAGCACATGGCAAGCCGTCAACATAAAAGGCCA